CTGATATAGAAATTAGAAAAACAGATCTTTTTCAGAACAATAAAAATTGAAGATTATTTAGATCATTATTTTGATATTGATATTATGTAATTTCATTTTTTTTTTTAATCTACTGTACATTGTATTCTTTTTGCTTTGATTTTTGTTCCCTTCTGATTCAGTATGGTTTAGCTAATTATGTAACTAGTTGATTAATACTTCAGAAGCCAGTTTAATTAACTCCAGTTTAACCAGAAAATAATGTCCTGTATAGTAAAAATATTAAAGTAGAACAGTTTGAAGGAAAGTCAAAAGATCTTGGGTTCTTTTCAATTTAATTTATTAATCTGTACTCATCTATGTACAAGACTGCACCTGCTAAACAATCCCTCCTATGATACAAGACAGAGGTCCACTTACGAATAAAACTGCATTTCACCAGCAAATTCAATTGATATATTGCAATCAATTTTTTTAATCGTCATTGATTAAAAAAAAAGAGACAAAACAAAATGAAAATCTCAGATTACTATTTACAAAAATAATTGATTAATAACTGATCGATTAACTCATTGATTAACTCATTTTATACCCTCTAAAAATTTAACTTATTTTTGTCACTGTCGTAAAAAAAATTTCAATTAAATTCAATTTAATGGGCAATGTAAGTTACAAAACATGTAATTATTAATTCATTACTAATTATTTACAAGCAATTGTTTATCAAATACAAAACTGGTCAAGGAGTAAAGAAAATTTCTATCCGATTAATCGATCAATAATTAATCCACAATTAATGAATGACCCATTAATTAATTGTCAGAACTAGGTGTCTGGTCTTGTGTAAAAGACTAACAATAGTAACGCAATTAATTAATTAATCTAAAATATAATTGATCAATTCATGGTAAATATCTTAAATTAATTACAAGAAACCGATACGATTCAAAGCACCCTAAAAATACTTTTAAAAATTGTGCTCAGACTTACAAAATTCGCTGCGACTTTTATTCATTTTGGTTTCTGTTTCAATAATCCGCTTGATCATATATTCTCCGCAACCTGCATCATTTCGTTATAAATGAATCTATTTTTATCATGATTTTCTATATGTGACGACGTCATTTATATGCTTTACGTGCATTAGTAACGTAGCATTTTTTTTGTAATTTTTCTTACATTTTTCGACACTTTTGGCGCCAAATTAAAGTATAAACAAATATATCAAAGTGATAGAGCTAAATTAATATCAACCCAGTTTTCATTCATGCCTTAGTCATTAACTTCAAACTTTATCAAAAACTAATTTTTGTTTAATAAGAGGTAACTTATAATCACAATAACGTATGAATTCAGTAATATTTCATAATAAAATTTTGCCTACCCAGCAATGAAAAGAAATATCATTATTAGTGATAAAAATCGCATTGAATAATGTAGCATTTCATATTACATGATTGCAACATTCTAAGTCAGTTTATTTGCACGTGGCTATAAATAGATCTTCATTCACCAATGAGCACTAAAAATAATCATTTATGAATTTTCGTTTTGTTTTTTAGTTATGTAGCCCCCCCAGAATATTTTTGTTCCTTTTTTATATGTGATTCACTTATTGACAACAAATTATTAAAAAAATAAACAAATCAATGTGAAATAGCTGCTTTGTAAAGCTAAAGATAATTAAGAGTTCATTAATTCTTTGTATAACTACTACAGATCGTCGGAGCGTTGAGAAAATGATTGTTAAACAAATTTGAAACAATCATGTAAGTAAATATAATACTGTCAGTTTTTAAATCAGTTGAACCGTTTCCGTATAATAATATTCATGATTAGTAGTAAATGTTGTAGAAATGTTCAATTATAAATGCACATTTTAAACAAAGTAATATTTTAACATTTTTCAGTATTCATACAAGAAAAGAAACTCAAAGTTGACAATTAAAAAAAAAAAAAAGAAGAAAACAATTGCTAATGTTCCAAGATTACTAAATTATTATTAAATAGTACTGAGGATTAACATTGATGTTTTACAAAAATTGTAAATAAGTTAATATTGTCAATTAACACTTCGAAAATAATTTAATGAATTATGAAGTGAATAAAATTAATTGACACCAGACTTTTAGGTTTGATACGAAATACTGAAACCCTGTAATAGAAACGTACATATATGTATAACGCTCCGTATTTCAAAATGTATTGTAGAATAAAAGCACATTTGGGTTATCTATAATTTTAATAAACATTGTAATATGATTATGTATAGGTTATATTAAATTTAGGTATATAAAATTAAGTTATATGAAATTTATACTCGGTTATGAAACATGAATTCATAATTTTTGTTTTGAAGTGTTTTATGCAGTTAATTCAACAGAAATGAAACGAGCTAAATTGTCCATTTTATCACTGCTCCGACAATATTTCATTATATCATGTTAGAAACTTATTTGAGTTCTGTCTCATAGTTTACTTAGCGTTCAACAAACAATGGTCTCAAAGTAATCCACCCTTTCGCCCAAACAAAAGCGAGCTAATAGTTCCTAACGCAGACTGTGCCGGAGATTCTTTTGTAACCGCAACGGGGATCGCAGGCGTAACCTGTCCAAGATCAGGTCTTGTGGCCCTAGCACCAGTTCTTCTTTGTCTAGTAGAGTCCCTGTTTGATATTGATTCATCCCGTTTCTTTCCAACCATTCTCCGTTTTGTGGATGAGGAATCAGTAGTAGTGGAAGAAGGTGAAAGTTTCTCTTGACTTCCACTTAAGGAGATGGAGTTTTTCAGGAAAGTTAACTGAGCCATAGGACTTTCAGTACCACGTCTAGTGTACAAAGAACCTTGTAGTGCTAACGGAGAGATAGAGGAACAAACCGTTGTAGCCATTATAGTGTCGATACCTATTCTTTCGAGCTTCTCTACTAAACGGATACTGGTAAGAGCTTTCTTGTCTGATCTCGACAATACGGTTCGTTTTCTTTTTACCTATTAAAAAATGTAATTAAAATAAGAAATTCATAGAATAGAATATGTAACAAATAAATGGTAATGTTATTCGATACGTGTGGAATGAAATTGTTTTAAAACAGAAAAGCAATATTTCTTAAATATTGCAAATTTTTTCTTGTAGCTGTAAACTTCTATTTACTTTTAAGGAATTAGTTTATTATAGTGTTATTATATTTATTTGTAACTTATTGTTTTTTCGCTTTTAAATACTTATTTTTGAACAACAACTTTACTTTCAATTAGTAATTACATTAAGAGTTTAGATTCTAAGTAGAGAAATTACCATTTATATGTTACTAAATATGAGGAATATACTTTCTGTATTTTTAAGATTTATATCCATTTGGAAGAAGTAACGTAATATTACTAGTTGATGTAATAATATTATATGATTCTATTGTCATATCTAATATAATTTTAGTAAAATTTTACCAACTTTTCTCACAAAAAGGTTTACGTACCTCTGTCTCTCCACCAAATGTTCTCTTTAACAATTCTGCTCCACTGGATAATAATCCCAGAGGGCCACTTTCTCGAGTTGGTGAACTAGATCGACTTTCTGGAGGACTAGCATCAGGACTATTACAAGGTGTTGCAGTAGGTGTAAAGTTCCTTTCTCCACTTGGAGTTCTTACAGAAGAAGGCGTTACAGCTTTAATACCTATTTTAACGCAATTGAATTATTTCAACAAATTTATTTAGTAGATATAAAAATAAATTGTTACAAACAATAAAATACTATTTTTATTGTCTCTATAAATTACATAACGTATTTTCAATTCCAAGCAATAAACACCTCTTTCATTCAACATTTTTGCAAGTCCAAGTGTTGTTGAAAATGTTGAAGTCGAATTCCTCCTGCTTAATGTTCTTGGAGTACTCATACCAGAATTTAAAGCACTACTAGGTGCAGTTGCAACTCTGCTACCCACAATACTCGGAGTTACACTTGTGTGATCATCAGGGTGAAGAACAGTACTATTGGTGAAGGTATATATAGAACCAGTATCTTGAAAGAGTTTTCCAGGGTTAGCGTACTCTTCGTCTTCTTCAAGGTCACTTAGACTGAAAGTAACTAGGCCTAAATCTTCTAAGCCACGACCTCCACGCGTTTTCACTCCTGGTCGTTCTTCCAGAAGACCACCTGACAAGTGAAATACATAGTTAATTAAGAATGTTATGTATATATATATATTTTTTAACAGTTTTACGCAACGTTAAAAGAATTATCTAATTTTTTTGGTAAGTATATTTCGGTTATACAAAGTGTTTCATTTAATATATCTAGACAATTTTCGAAATTAACGACAATATCAAAAATGTTGCAAACAATGTTTTTTTTTATGCAGACGACATTATGTAGAGGTCAGCTCTGTTTTTAAACAGAATTGTATACGTTTTAATGTATTAATTAATGCAGCTTTTCATTTCCCATAAAAAACGTCTTAAAAAATCTTTAGTTTATGAAATATTTTGAAATTCCTTTTCAACGCAAAAAGAAATTAAACTCGAAACATTGGTTCAAATTGTGTCATTTTGATCTGGCCGGTCCTTCTATTTTTAAATATCAATGGGATCAAATGGAATATTATAAAATATTCTTTTGTTTTGGCCTCATACAAAAAAAAAACGTAACTTATTCTCACCGAAAGGAGTCAAAAATGCTTAATTAACATACGTCCTAAAATCAATCCTTTTAGTGTAAAATCTTTCCTCATATTTACGAATGTTCGATAATTTAAGTGAGTCTCTTTAAAGATTAGGACCAAGTTGCATCTATCAAGTAATCTTTCTTAATTTAGTGAAAATCTTCCGTTGTTATACAACTTTGCACTAACGTATTTCCAAACCGATTCTTCCGCTTTTATTTAATGCGTTGTGAAAAGACTCACTTACGATATCGAACGCCCGTAAATACAAAAGTTAGATTTTATATCGAAAAGATTGACTTTAGGACCCATATTGATTAAGCATTTTTTATTCCTCTCAGTGAGTATTATAAGCCTCTATAGCCTCAGATACATTTTTTTAACACCCTGTATAATAAATAGTAAATACTATATTTTAAAATAATTTCAAGACGAATTATTTGCCTAATGTAATAAATATTACCTAAAGTAGGTGTAGCTAGTTGTGTCCAATGGTGCAAAGTTTGTGAACCTTCGATAGGTTTCACTATTTGCAACTTTTCAGGTATTCTCCATGTATTTCCACTATAGCCACTTAAATTTCCACTACTTCCGGTGGACATAATACTGTCCGGAGTTCTACAACCAATAGGTATGAAAGTCGAAGGAGAACGAGCTCCAGTATCATAATCGTAACTATATCCTGCACCAGTGCTGAGACAAGCACGTCTTGTAAGAACTTCTGCAGGTGTTAATCTTCGAAGAGCTGCTTCCAGATCTGCTGCTCCAGGTGCACCTGGTACTCCTGTTTGTTGTGGACCACTAAAAATTCGCGTAAATATTTTTTAATTTATTTCATAGATTAATATTTAAAGAAATGTAACTTTTATCAAAATATGTGTTTGAAATATTAAAATTGATTCTTCTTAACCAATTTGTTATTTTATATTATTAATACAAAATTTAAGAAATAT